CTCCCCACCTCTCCAAAGTGAGCTGGGTTCCATGGGCCCCCCCCAAAGTGAGCTGTGTTCCATGGGCCCCCCACCCAAAGTGAGCCGTGTTCCATGGGCCCCCCACCCAAAGTGAGCTGTGTTCCATGGGCCCCCCACCCAAAGTGAGCCGTGTTCCATGGGCCCCCCACCCAGAGTGAGCCGTGTTCCATTGGGCCCCCACCCCAAGTGAGCCGTGTTCCATGGGCCCCCCCACCCAAATGAGCCGTGTTCCATGCCCCCACCCAAAGTGAGCCGTGTTCCATGGGCCCCCCACCCAAAGTGAGCCGTGTTCCATGGGCCCCCCCCACCCAAAGTGAGCCGTGTTCCATGGGCCCCCCACCCAAGTGAGCCGTGTTCCATTGGGCCCCCACCCAAAGTGAGCCGTGTTCCATGGGCCCCCCCACCCAAAGTGAGCCGTGTTCCATGGGCCCCCCCACCCAAAGTGAGCCGTGTTCCATGGGCCCCCCACCCAAAGTGAGCCGTGTTCCATGGGCCCCCCACCCAAAGTGAGCCGTGTTCCATGGGCCCCCCACCCAAAGTGAGCCGTGTTCCATGGGCCCCCCACCCAAGAGTGAGCCGTGTTCCATGGGCCCCCCCCCAGAGTGAGCCGTGTTCCATGGGCCCCCCCACCCAGAGTGAGCCGTGTTCCATGGGCCCCCCACCCAAAGTGAGCCGTGTTCCATGGGCCCCCCCACCCAAAGTGAGCCGTGTTCCATGGGCCCCCCACCCAAAGTGAGCCGTGTTCCATGGGCCCCCCACCCAAAGTGAGCCGTGTTCCATGGGCCCCCCACCCAGAGTGAGCCGTGTTCCATGGGCCCCCCACCCAGGAGTGGGCCCCCCACCCAGAGCCGTGAGCCGTGTTCCCATGGGCCCCCCACCCAGAGTGAGCCGTGTTCCATGGGCCCCCCACCCAGAGTGAGCCGTGTTCCATGGGTTCCCCCCCCCCAAAGTGAGCCGTGTTCCATGGGCCCCCCACCCAAAGTGAGCCGTGTTCCATGGGCCCCCCACCCAAAGTGAGCCGTGTTCCATGGGCCCCCCACCCAGTGAGCCGTGTTCCATGGGCCCCCCACCCCAGAGTGAGCCGTGTTCCATGGGCCCCCCACCCAGAGTGAGCCGTGTTCCATGGGCCCCCCACCCAGAGTGAGCCGTGTTCCATGGGCCCCCCACCCAGAGTGAGCCGTGTTCCATGGGCCCCCCACCCAGAGTGAGCCGTGTTCCATGGGCCCCCCACCCAGAGTGAGCCGTGTTCCATGGGCCCCCCACCCAGAGTGAGCCGTGTTCCATGGGCCCCCCACCCAGAGTGAGCCGTGTTCCATGGGCCCCCCACCCAGAGTGGCCGTGTTCCATGGGCCCCCCACCCAGAGTGAGCCGTGTTCCATGGGCCCCCCACCCAGAGTGAGCCGTGTTCCATGGGCCCCCCACCCAGAGTGAGCCGTGTTCCATGGGCCCCCCCACCCAGAGTGAGCCGTGTTCCATGGGCCCCCCACCCAGAGTGAGCCGTGTTCCATGGGCCCCCCACCCAAAGTGATCCGTGTTCCATGGGCCCCCACCCAGAGTGAGCCGTGTTCCATGGGCCCCCCACCCAGAGTGAGCCGTGTTCCATGGGCCCCCCCACCCAAAGTCTCTCCCGTCACAATTTTATTATTGTCTGTAGATCTACTTTATATAGAACTCCTGAAGCATCCAAATAATTCCTTGTCGCCATCTTGTGGTAATAAATAATTATTGCAGATTAAACGCTCAGAATATTCGGTTAGCTGCAAATCATTGGATTTGATGATCTTTAAGAGAACCGAACAATTCTCAGAAAATTTGCAGCATTTATAAAAACCATCTGAATTTTGGGTTTTCCTGATTGATTTTTTTTATGCCTCTGAATATACAGTTGAGATTTGTGTTCTCTGCAGAGAATTATGGAAATTGGGATTATCATGCGATTCACCGCTCCAGACCGATCTGCAGGACCATAGAGAAGACCATAGAGAGAACCATGAAGACAACCAAATGTGCTGTCATGGGATCTGTAGAGGATGCAATGGATGGAGTGGGGGGAGGGGATTCCTGGCAGTGAGATTTCATTCTTCAGACTTTTCTCTGTTTTTGCTCCTCTATATATTCTTATTGTGTTTCTTGTTTTAGATACATTTCTATGACAAAGTATGGCCGGTCTTTATATTTTGATGCTTTTTTTTCCCCGAGCACAAATGACGGGCCCCTGGTGTCATTCCTGGCCAGCGTAGGGGCCACTGGCGTTGTCTGGCGGCACATTGGTAGCGGGGGCTGCTGTCTTGTTGGGATCTGGTGCTGTGCCGGGCTGGTGCAAGTGCAGTCCTTTGCTTAGATCTCCAATCATAGCAGTGCCAGGACAAGGTCATCCCATGGCAAAGATGCCAAACTGCACCCCCCTCCCCCATTCATGATGTGCAAATGAGGGGATCCTACACCCAGCAGTCACTCGCTTGTCGAAATCTCTGCTGCTGTCATTACCTTGTAACAGAAGGAAGGCCCCCCCATCCCTACAGTAGTCCATTGCACCCAGGGCAGCCGCCCCCCCCCCCCCCTTGTCCCCAGCCCTGAATCCTGAGCATGGCATCACAGTTCATCCAATGTCTTCAGTTCTAAGGGGTGTCAGGAAGACCCCCCAACATTTATACCAACACAGGGAGCACCTTCATCCAATCACCATGAGATTTGTCCAAGAACAGGACGGGAGGTGTGAAGGAATCTACAACTACCTTCTGACTAATGTGAACCAACCAAAACCTTCATCTCTGATTCCAAAGCGGCTGACTGGGATCCATCATTCAATGACTTTCACATTTCATATATACTTGACTCCTCCTGACCAGAAAAAGAATTTTATAAAATGTATTTTTTCATTCTGAGTCCCGACTATAGCAAAGAAAACCTTCATAAACCACCGTATAGTACGGTTCACAATAAGGCGTCTGTAGTACCTGCCTGAGGATGTGGCAGGAGGGGCCACAGATCTGGCCGTGTTCCCGGATCAGCCTCTGGGACACCATCAGAACTTCGGATGATTCTGGAAATCCCGGGACGGGGCTCACCTAACAAAACATCCAATCACATGAATAGTAATGCAGGAAGGAGCGCTGATCCACAGTGAATGATAAGACATGGTGGCAGAGTGTCTGTGCTGATCATCCCAACCAATCCCGAGCTGACCTGACTGTAAGCACTTCTAGATCTTCCTCTTCAGGAAAACACAATCCACCTGAATGGTAAACCGAAGGCTGAGCTTCCTCATGGTGGGGCCATGTGGTTTATGGCAGTATCTGCACTCAGCCAGGCCTCCTAGTGCCAATGGGACCCCCAATGATATGGATGTTGGACCCACGCATAGTACCCACTAAGGCCGGCTTCATACCTCTGGGCTTTCATGTGCATTTTGCAACCCACAAGAATGCAAGTGTCGTAAAAAATGCATTGTTTCCAATGAGCCCGTTCACATCTCCGATATTTTATATGCATTTTCCTGATTTTATGACCATATTAAAGTCTATGGAAGCTCATTAAAAATACATATTAAACACACAAAAAGGTGCATAAACAAAACACAAGAAAACATGCACTGATGGTGGGGGGACAGGGGAGGGAAGGCTCATTGATGGAGGTGGTGAGGCGGAGACTCATTGATGGAGGTGGGTAGGGAAGGTGCATTGATGGAGATGGGGGGAGACTCATTGATAGGTGGGGAGGAAAGGCTCATTGATAGAGGTGGGGAGGGAAGGCTCATTGATGGAGATGGAGAGGAAAGGCTCATTGTTGGAGGTGGGGGGAGACTCGTTGATGGAGGTGAGGGGGGCTCATTGTAGTAGGTTTGGGGGGCAGGTCATTGATGGAGGTGGGGGTAGGGCTAATTGTTGGAAGTGGGGAGGCTCATAGATGGAGATGGGGGAAGGCTCATTGATGGACCCCAATGTAATGGCTTATTGATGGAAGGTGGGGAGGGAAGGCTTCATAGATGGAATGTAAGGAAAAGGCATCATTGACCACCAATGGAGGTCTTCCCACTGGGGTAAGGAGACTTCTTTGATGGAATGTGAGGGGGGCAGCTCATTGATGGAGGTAAGGGGTAGGGCTTCCCCTGACCCCCACTGTTGGAAGTGGGAGGGACATTCTTCCCACTGACCCCCAATGGAGATGGGGGAAACTCAGGCTTATTGCCATGGAGGCCCGGGGTCAGTAGGGGGCCTCAGGATGCCCCTCATTTTCATAGGCTTTTTTGAGGGGCAGACACAGGGGACTCATGATCCCCTATTGCCTGGGTGCCCCATGATGTCAGTCGGCCCCTGCCCCCACTGTAAGGGACATTCTTCCACCTGGACCCCCAATGTAAGGGACATTCTTACCACTGACCACCAATGTAAGGACATTCTTCCCACTGACCCCCAATGTAAGGGACATTCTTCCCACTGACCCCAATGTAAGGGACATTCTTCCCACTGACCCCAATGTAAGGGACATTCTTCCCACTGACCCCCAATGTAAGGGACATCCTTCCCACTGACCCCCAATGTAAAGGACATTCTTCCCACTGACCCCCAATGTAAGGACATTCTTCCCACTGACCCCCAATGTAAGGGACGTTTCGTCCCACTGACCACCAATTAAGGGGACTGTCTTCCCACTGACCCCCAATGTAAGGGACTTCCCACTGACCCCCAATGTAAGGGACATTCTTCCCACTGACCCCCAATGTAAGGGACATTCTTCCCACCATTCCCAACTCAGGCACCCCCAAAGGCCCGTAAGGGGGCCTCAGGAGATGCTTCCCACTGACCCCAATTTTTGTAAGGGACACTTCCCACTGACCCCCATGTAAGTGCCCCATGACGTTGGACTTCGGCCCACTGACCCCAATGTAAGGGACATTCTTCCCACTGACCCCAATGTAAGGGACATTTCTTCCCACTGACCCCCAATGTAAGGGACAGTCTTCCCACTGACCCCCAATGTAAGGGACATTCTTCCCACTGACCCCCAATGTAAGGACAGTTCTTCCCACTGACCCCCAATGTAAGGGACATTCTTCCCACTGACCCCCAATGTAAGGGACATTCTTCCCACTGACCCCCAATGTAAGGGACAGTTCTTCCCACTGACCCCCAATGTAAGGGACGTTCTTCCCACTGACCCCCAATGTAAGGGACATTCTTCCCACTGACCCCCAAATGTAAGGGACATTCTTCCCACTGACCCCCAATGTAAGGGACATTCTTCCCACTGACCCCCAATGTAAGGGACATTCTTCCCACTGACCCCCAATGTAAGGGACATTCTTCCCACTGACCCCCAATGTAAGGGACATTCTTCCCACTGACCCCCAATGTAAGGGACATTCCCCCAATGTAAGGGACATTCTTCCCACTGACCCCCACTGTAAGGGACCTTCTTCCCACTGACCCCCAATGTAAGGGACATTCTTCCCACTGACCCCCCAATGTAAGGGACATTCTTCCCACTGACCCCCCAATGTAAGGGACATTCTTCCCACTGACGTCCAATGTAAGGGACATTCTTCCCACTGACCCCCAATGTAAGGGACATTCTTCCCACTGACGTCCAATGTAAGGGACATTTTTCCCACTGACCCCCCAATGTAAGGACATTCTTCCCACTGACCCCCCACTGTAAGGAGCATTCTTCCCACTGACCCCCCACTGTAAGGAGCATTCTTCCCACTGACCCCCCAATGTAAGGGACATTCTTCCCACTGACCCCCAATGTAAGGGACATTCTTCTCACTGACCCCCAATGTAAGGACCATTCTTCCCACTGACCCCCAATGTAAGGAACATTCTACCCACTGACCCCCCAATGTAAGGGACATTCTTCCCACTGATCCCCAATGTAAGGGACATTCTTCCCACTGACCCCCAATGTAAGGGACATTCTTCCCACTGACCCCCAATGTAAGGAACATTCTTCCCACTGATCCCCAATGTAAGGGACATTCTTCCCACTGACCCCCAATGTAAGGGACATTCTTCCCACTGATCCCCAATGTAAGGGACATTCTTCCCACTGACCCCCAATGTAAGGAACACTCTTCCCACTGACCCCCAGTGTAAGGAACATTATTCCCACTGACCCCCATAGTACAGATTTTAGAACGGGGGTCCCCTAGACCTGAACATAATGTGAAGGGTTCTTTGGGGTAAAGGGTTAAGAATGGCTGTTCAAGGTTTCTCATAGAATGGTGAGATGACTCCTCTCAGCGTCCAATCAGAATGTGAGATTTCGGCGTACATTGACGCACTGAGGTGATGGTTTCTCAGCCATCGTCAAATAGCTTCATATCACAAAGCAATCACGCGGGTTGTTTTGCTCCGACGGGCGATCGATGTGTTTGTTGGATCATCTAATGACGGGACGTCCGGGGGATTCTGGAATTATTGACAATGCCCTTCAAGGATCTCTTGTTTAATGGCGATAATACATCATGTATCGCTGAGATCTCTGCGGTGGTTACAGACAGGTGAATGTTTACGGCTGCCAGGAATGTCGGATCTCCAAGAAACGTCCCAGCTGGTCACATTATCCTGGAAATTATTATTATTATTATTATACAGTATTTTAAAAGTGTCGATAGTTCGCTCAGCGCTGTACATTACAAAAGGGAGACAGAACATGTGACAGAACAATACCAATACAATGCAAAACATGAGGGGATCAAGGGCCCTGCTCCTTGGAGCTTACAATCTAGGAGGGAGGGGGTGGTGGCACAGGAGGAGATAGCTGTGGGGGATGGAGTGGTAGGAAGAGTGGAGGAGGTCGGCAAGTTAGCAGGGGGTGGGGTAGGCTTCCCTGAAGAGATGGGTTTTCAGGGTGCGCCTAAAGGAGAGGAGAGTAGGTGATAATCTGATGGGTTGGGGCATGGAGTTCCAGAGGATGGGTGACACCCTGGAGAAGTCCTGGAGGCGGGCATGGGAGGAGGAGACCAGGGAACTAAGAGAAGGAGGTCTTGTGAGGAGCGGAGTGTGCGTGCTGGGCGGTACTTGGATATTAGGTCAGTGATGTAGTTCAGGGCAGTATGGTGGACAGCTTTGTACGTCAGTGTTAGGATTTTGAATTTGATCCGTTGCGCAATCGGAAGCCAGTGGAGGGATTGGCAGAGGGGGGTGGAGGACACTGAGTGGAGGCCAGTGGAGGGATTGGCAGAGGGGGGTGGAGGACACTGAATGGAGGCCAGTGGAGGGATTGGCAGAGGGGGGTGGCGGAGACAGAGCGGTTGGAAAGGTGAATGAGTCTGGCAGCCGTGTTCAGGATGGACTGAAGAGGGATAGCCAGCGGTGAGGCAGGCCAGTGAGGAGGGAGTTGCAGTAGTCGAGTCGTGATATGATGAGGGAGTGGATGAGCTGTTTAGTGGTTTCTGGGGTTAGGAACGTGCGGATTTTGGCGATGTTGTGGAGGTGGAGTCTGCATGTTGCGGAGGTGGAGTCTGCACGAGTTTGTTAAAGATTGGACTTGGGGGCTGGAAGGATAGGTTGGAGTCCAGAATGACACCCAGTACTCTGGCCTGCAGGGCGGGTTTGATGGTAGCGTTGTTGGACGTGATAGAGAAATCAATGGGGGGTGGTGTCCGGGCTGGGGGGGAAGACAACAAACTCGGTTTTGGAGAGGTTCAATTTAAGGAAGTGGAGCGACATCCAGTCTGATATGTCGCTCAGTAGGTGTGTGATTCGGGCTGAGACCAAGGGGGTGAGGTGGGGGGTTGAGAGATAGATTTGTGTGTCGTCGGCATAGAGATGGTAGTTGAAGCCGTGAGAGTGTATGAGTTGGCCAAGGGAGGAGGTATAGATGGAGAAGAGAAGGGGCCCGAGGACAGAGCCTTGAGGGACCCCAACAGAGAGGGGGAGTGAGGGGGAGGTGGTAGCATTATAGGTAACGCTGAAGGAGCGTTGTGACAGGTAGGATGAGAGCCAGGAGAGAGCAGAATCTCTGAGGCCGAGGGAGTGTAGTTTTTTGAGGAGGAGGGGTGGTCGACTGTGTCGAAGGCCGCAGAGAGGTCAAGAGTAGGAGCACTGAATAGTGGCCATTAGCTTTGGCGGTTAGCAGGTCGTTCAGGAAATGTCCTGAATCTCCGATTGGCAGAACGTGGCATACGGGACTCTGAGCTTTGTGTGACAAATACATTCAGCAAGTTTCTATTCGATTTGTAAAATGTTCATCTGTCTGGTTGGAGTTATCTTTTAATGATGAACCTAAATTTATGAGCGCGCAAGCATTGCTCGCCACAAAATGTTCCGTATATGTGCGCCACCATTCCTTCTGGAAGGAGTCCCACATATAGAAGCCAAACATCAAGGTGACCGATCTCTGCAATATGGTGAGCATGAAAAGTCCAGGTACATTTCCATCATGTCAATGTATTGCCCTAACGCAGGCGCAGAGACGCACCCATACATGTGATCGGCCTGAATGTCTCCCAGCAGATTTGTGACAGGATGTCAGATTATCACATAAAGTGCTGAAATCAGCCATTCTTAACCCTTTACCCCAAAGAACCCTTCACACTAACCCTGATGCTGTCCCCATACCCAACACTAACCCTGATGCTGTCCCCATACCCAACACTAACCCTGATGCTGTCCCCATACCCAACACTAACCCTGATGCTGTCCCCATACCCAACACTAACCCTGATGCTGTCCCTATACCCAACACTAACCCTGATGCTGTCCCTATACCCAACACTAACCCTGATGCAATCCCTATACCCAACACTAACCCTGATGCTGTCCCTATACAGAACACTAACCCTGATGCTATTCCTATACCCAACACTAACCCTGATGCTATTCCTATACCCAACACTAACCCTGATGCTGTCCCCATACCCAACATTAACCCTGATGCAATCCCTATACCCAACACTAAGCCTGATGCTGTCCCTATACCCCAACACTAACCCTGATGCTGTCCCTATACCCAACACTAACCCTGATGCTATCCCTATACCCAACACTAACCCTGATGCAATCCCTATACCCAACACTAAGCCTGATGCAATCCCTATACCCAACACTAACCCTGATGCTGTCCCTATACCCAACACTAACCCTGATGCTATCCCTATACCCAACACTAACCCTGATGCAATCCCTATACCCAACACTAAGCCTGATGCTGTCCCTATACCCAACACTAACCCTGATGCTGTCCCTATACCCAACACTAACCCTGATGCTGTCCCTATACCCAACACTAACCCTGATGCTGTCCCTATACCCAACACTAACCCTGATGCTGTCCCTATACCCAACACTAACCCTGATGCTATTCCTTTACCCAACACTAACCCTGATGCTGTCCCCATACCCAACACTAACCCTGATGCTGTCCCCATACCCAACACTAACCCTGATGCTGTCCCCATACCCAACATTAACCCTGATGCAATCCCTATACCCAACACTAAGCCTGATGCTGTCCCTATACCCAACACTAACCCTGATGCTGTCCCTATACCCAACACTAACCCTGATGCTATCCCTATACCCAACACTAACCCTGATGCAGTCCCTATACCCAACACTAACCCTGATGCTGTCCCTATACCCAACACTAACCCTGATGCTGTCCCTATACCCAACACTAACCCTGATGCAGTCCCTATACCCAACACTAAGCCTGATGCAGTCCTATACCCAACACTAACCCTGATGCTGTCCCCATACCCAACACTAACCCTGATGCTGTCCCCATACCCAACACTAACCCTGATGCTGTCCCCATACCCAACACTAACCCTGATGCAGTCCCCATACCCAACACTAACCCTGATGAGCAGTCCCCATACCCAACACTAACCCTGATGCTGTCCCCATACCCAACACTAACCCTGATGCTGTCCCCATACCCAACACTAACCCTGATGCTGTCCCCATACCCAACACTAACCCTGATGCAGTCCCCATACCCAACACTAACCCTGATGCAGTCCCCATACCCAACACTAACCCTGATGCTGTCCCCATACCCAACACTAACAATGATGCTGTCCCTATACCCAACACTAACCCTGATGCTATCCCTATACCCAACACTAACCCTGATGCAGTCCCTATACCCAACACTAACCCTGATGCAGTCCCTATACCCAACACTAACCCTGATGCTGTCCCTATACCCAACACTAACCCTGATGCTATCCCTATACCCAACACTAACCCTGATGCTGTCCCTATACCCAACACTAACCCTGATGCAATCCCTATACCCAACACTAACCCTGATGCTATCCCTATACCCAACACTAAACCTGATGCTATCCCTATACCCAACACTAAACCTGATGCTGTCCCCATACCCAACACTAAACCTGATGCTGTCCCCATACCCAACACTAAACCTGATGCTGTCCCCATACCCAACACTAACCCTGACGCTGTCCCTATACCCAACACTAACCCTGACGCTGTCCCCATACCCAACACTAACCCTGACGCTGTCCCCATACCCAACACTAACCCTGACGCTGTCCCCATACCCAACACTAACCCTGACGCTGTCCCCATACCCAACACTAACCCTGACGCTGTCCCCATACCCAACACTAACCCTGACGCTGTCCCTATACCCAACACTAACCCTGATGCTGTCCCTATACCCAACACTAACCCTGATGCTGTCCCTATACCCAACACTAACCTTGAAGCTGTCCCTATACCCAACACTAACTCTGATGCTAATCCTTTGATAATAGGAAATGTCATGCAATTTCTATTCAAGCCCTGAACTGGGGGGGGGGGGGGTGTCTATCTTTGGGGGAGCCCCTCTCCTAGTATTCGGCTTCAGCTGACCTTGAAGAGAGGGGTACACCATGCCTTTTGGCTAGGTGGAACAAGTTGAGCTTTAGCCCTGTCAGGAGCCTTGTGTCCAGGGGGTCTGAGTCCTTCAGGGGGTCTGAGTTCTCCAGGGGGTCTGAGTCCTCCAGGGGGTCTGAGTCCTCCAGGGGGTCTGAGTTCTCCAGGGGGTCTGAGTCCTCCAGGGGGTCTGAGTCCTCCAGGGGGTCTGAGTCCTCCAGGGGGTCTGAGTCCTTCAGGCGGTGGACTAGAGACACACCCTTAGGTGTATTTTCACAAGAACTTCAGTGTTTTAGTTCTGGCGCACAACCGTGAAAAAAAAGCATTCTTGTTAGCATTAGGGTCAATGTTAGGGGTAGGACTAGGATCACATGTTCCCATCTAATTAGAGGCCCAGAACAGAACAGTTCCAGAATGACTGGAAAGAGGTTTTAGAACCCTCAGGATTATTTACAGCCAGGTGTTCCTCAACCCCTACCATGATGTCATATACGTATGGGAAGTCTCTTGGACCCTACATGGTGTCCTTCAGTCAGGTCAGTGAAGGAGTTTTTCTGATTGGTTGATGAGTTTTGTAGACTGCCCTATGTTACTCTTGGTGAATATTCCCAGAAAGTTGCAGAAACCCCCATTCATGGTCAGCAATCCCGATCCATGATAACAAATGTCCACCTACCGTCACATCACTGTCCATTACAATCACCTCCCCAGTCACCTTCCATAGGAGACTTGTGGGGAAGTCATTCTCCGGAACTGGAGGATCACAGATATATTCTGAATGCAGAGTTCTCCTGAAAGAACAATGAGGATAAAAATCTGTCCAACAGTCTAGGCAGTCACTGTTCTGTGTCCATAATAAAGGGTTAGTCCACCCATAATGGATATTTAATGTTTGTTTAGATATACTTTAAAGGGTAAGGAAACATTTCACCAGACTGGACAGCATGGTCACCGTATCACCACACTGGACAGCATGGTCACCGTATCACCACACCGGACAGAATGGTCACCGTATCACCACACCGGACAGAATGGTCACCGTATCACCACACCGGACAGAATGGTCACCGTATCACCACACCGGACAGAATGGTCACCGTATCACCACACCGGAAAGAATGGTGACCGTATCACCACACCGGACAGATTGGTCAACGTATCACCACACCGGACAGAATGGTCACCGTATCACCACACCGGACAGAATGGTCACCGTATCATCACACCAGACAGAATGGTCACCGTATCACCACACCGGACAGAATGGTCACCGTATCACCACACCAGACAGAATGGTCACCGTATCACCACACCGGACAGAATGGTCACCGTATCACCACACCGGACAGAATGGTCACCGTATCACCACACCGGAAAGAATGGTGACTGTATCACCACACCGGACAGATTGGTCAACGTATCACCACACCGGACAGAATGGTCACTGTATCACCACACCACCGACAGAATGGTCATCGTATCACCACACCGGACAGAATGGTCACTGTATCACCGGACAGAATGGTCACCATATCACCACACCGGGCAGAATGGTCACCGTATCACCACACCGGACAGAATGGTCACCGTATCACCACACCGGACAGATTGGTCACCGTATCACCACACCGGACAGATTGGTCACCGTATCACCACACCGGACAGAATGGTCACCGTATCACCACACCGGACAGAATGGTCACCGTATCATCACACCGGACAGAATGGTCACCGTATCACCACACCAGGCAGAATGGTCACCGTATCACCACACCGGACAGAATGGTCACAGTATCATCACACCAGGCAGAATGGTCACAGTATCACCAAACCGGACAGAATGGTCACCGTATCATCACACCGGACAGAATGTTCACCGTATCACCACACCGGACGGAATGGTCACCGTATCATCACACCGGACAGAATGGTCACCGTATCACCACACCGGACAGAATGGTCACCGTATCATCACACCGGGCGGAATGGTCACCGTATCATCACACCGGACGGAATAGTCACCGTATCATCACACCGGACGGAATAGTCACCGTATCATCACACCGGACAGAATGGTCACCGTATCATCACACAGGACAGAATGGTCACCGTATCACCACACCGGGCGGAATGGTCACTGTATGATCACACCGGGCAGAATGGTCACCGTATCATCACACCGGACAGAATGTTCACCGTATCATCACACACCGGACAGAATGGTCACCGTATCACCACACTGGACAGAATGGTCACCGTATCACCACACTGAAATATTTTGGTGCAGATTGCAGTCTTCTTACCATGTGACGGAGAGCTGCTGGTAGTGGATGAGTCTTCCTTCACCTTTGCATACAGGACAGACTTTTCTGCCGCGACCTGAACACTTGCTGCATCTGAAACACACATCAAACTTTCAATTTAAAGCCAACATCAAACCAAACTTTGTATTCAGGAAAAGTGATTTATTCAGAACGACTCGTATTTCATGTAATAAGTCGATGTGTAAAGTGTGCATTGCCCTGATTGGTGATAAAAGCTGAAATCTGGCTGCTTGCTCTGGATAATGCACACGATTGCAGGTATCAGGACAGACAACTATCTGATGGTGTTCATTCGCACTCACCTCCTCCTGCCATTTCCAGAACAGCCATGGCACCTCTTGTTCCTGGACCGCTGACGGCTTCCACCAGAACACCCGCACCGAAACTGCGCAGACATGGGGAGGCTTCAATGAGCGTACCAGAGATCTGTACAAATAGAAGAGGTCCAACTTACCTGCCCCGAGCCGCCACACCTGGAACACTTACAGCGTCCACGTCCCTGACACTTGTGGCACACCTGAGCAAGAGTAAGGGACAATTAAAGGACATCTACACTCACACGCCTCTTTAAAGGTCCATCTGTTCAGTTGCTTGGTAACACAAATTGCTAATCAGCCAATCACAAGGAAGTAACTCAAAGCATTTAGGCATCTAGACGTGGTGAAGACAACTTGCTGAAGTTCAAACCAAACATCAGAATGGGGAAAAAAGGGGATTTAAGTGATTTTGAACGTGGCATGGTTGTTGGTGCCAGACGGGCTGGTCTGTGTATTTCAAAAACTGCTGATCTACTGGGATTTTACAGAGAATGGTCCGAAAAAGAGAAAATATCCAGTGAGAGGCAGTTGTGTGGAGGAAAATGCCTTGTTGAAGTCAGAGGTTAGAGGAGAATGGGCAGACTGGTTCCAGGTGACAGAAAGGCAAAATCACTGAGAAAAGTTTCCTACACCTTGCTGAATCTACATCACGAAGAATGAAAGCAAAAGGGGTCCAACCTGGGACTAGCAAGGTGGACCTAATAAAGTGGCCGGTGAGGATGGATTTGATAGATAGATAGATAGATAGATAGATAATAGATAGATAGATAGATAGATAGATAGATAGATAGATAGATAGATAGATAGATAGATAGATAATAGATAGATAGATAGATAGATAGATAATAGATAGATAATAGATAGATAATAGATAGATAGATAGATAGATAGATAGATAGATAGATAGATAGATAGATAGATAGATAGATAGATAGATAGATAGATAGATAGATAGATAGATAGATAGATAGATAGATAGATAGATAGATAGATAGATAATAATAGATAATAGATAGATAATAGATAGATAGATAGATAGATAGATAGATAGATAGATAGATAGATAGAATAATAGATAGATAGATAGATAGATAGATAGATAGATAGATAGATAATAGATAGATAGATAGATAGATAGATAGATAGATAGATAGATAGATAGATAGATAGATAGATAGATAGATAGATAGATAGATAGATAGATAGTTAATAGATAGATAGATAATAGATAGATAGATAGATAGATAGATAGATACATAGATAATAGATAGATAGATAGATAATAGATAGATAGATAGATAGATAGATAGATAGATAGATAGATAGATAGATAATAGATAGATAATAGATAGATAGATAGATAGATATAGATTAGTTGGATGGATGGATGGATGGAGAAGTGTGCAGTTATTTCAGTGTTTCTCGCCCGTATTCACTGACCAGACGGGTAATATGGATCTCGGCTCACCTTCAGCTCTGAAGAATGTGGAAGAGGAATTCTCTCTGAGCCGTCCTGGAACATTTTGGGGGTCTGGACTCTGATGTTCCACAGTTGGGGTGCGGCTCCTCTGTTCGCTTTGTCAAGTCTCTGACCTAAACACACCAACACAGGAAGAGTCATAGGAGAAGCTGGAATATCTTCATTTCCTATTCATGATATATTGAGGGGAGAGAAAGATCTTTATATGTAAATAATTTCCAGCGGTTTGTAGCAGAATCCTCATTCTGGTGCAATTTTAGGTGCGATTTGCAAACTGAAATCGCATCTATGAATGAGAAATGTCCTAACACATGCGATTTTCTGCAGCGCAATTTCTACAGTAGTTCTTGCATGACTTTTTCTGCAGTTTTGTTGCGATTTCACATCCATATAATATAATGGAAATTGCACTGCAAATTGCAAGAAAATCGTTGAAACTCTTCACAAGTAGCAATAAAGTCTTCAGAAATGGCGCAGAAATCGCACAGAAATCGCAGCAGTGTGACCAGTGACTTATTCTCATTTTTAGAGGAAAACATTCTCAAATAAAATGTATACTTTCTATCTACAGTAACGTTGTGCTTTGAACTCATCTGACCAAAAAAGAAAAAAAAAGTTATTTAGTTTTGTTACTTTTTTGTAAATGTGAATTACATACAAAAATAAAAGGTTTTTTTCCTAAACAATATACCGCGGAATATGTGTATCACTTTGTTATAAATAAATGTGTTGCTGAAATGGCAGAAGTGTACACTTTGTGCTACTCCATGAGGGTGTACGGAGGGGGGTGTATGGAAGGGGAGGAGGGGGGTGTACGGGGGGGAGGGGGGTGTCTGAAGTTTAAATTTTGTATAGTGAAGAGGACATATGAAGCTTCTGTCATTTTTTTGTCCTTGCTGTCTGGGTCACATTGTGGGAATTTCCCTCCATTTCTTGTCCCAGAGCCACACCAGGAAGGCAGAATAAATGTCTACAAATGGAGAGGGACCCCCCTTGTAGACAACCATCACCAGAACAGAAGACCCTTTAGGGAGATTTTCCCTGATCTCCTCTTCCAGAGACAAGTGTAACATTCTGGATTTCCCATCACTTCCTTTTCTTCTCCTGACAATGGGCACCGGGATATAAAAGAGATGGAGAATATCCACAGAAGGGACCCAGACAGCACTACAAACCTGACAGAGGTTCTGATCCGTCGACACCACAATGGTACTGAGAGCGTTGGCTGTAGATTTGCATATCGAAAGGTATTCTGTGGGTGGCGTTCCTTATTCGAGGGTCTCCGGGACGAATCTGAAGGTTATGGTAGAGGGAGAATGTTCCACATAGCACACATTTAGGAAATGCACTCTAATAGCCTTTCTCCAGATTTACAGAGCAGAAGCAGGTTGATCTATAAAGGAGTTTTTATTTATTTTTGGGGGTTTTTTTTCAACAAAACTTATTTCACCTGAATGCTTTGCAGATTTTTTTCCATTATCAATCCATTCCAGAACTATTTCAGGTGGCATAGGTCAAAAAATCCTAAGTGATAATTATCATGTAATCTACTCACCAGTATATGGCTTGCTGGTCTTCTCATGCTGTCTGCTCTCTGTGAAGCTCTCCAGCCTGTACTGGGGATATACAGATCCATTTGACATATCATAGAGTTCTGAATTCTTGTCTTCTGTTTTGGATACATTGCATTGCTTCCCAGAGCTATATAATATACATCACATGACACTCTTGGAAGGCTCCACTCCAGCACATCCTGTACTCAATACTCAACCCACTGGAAGATTGAAGAACAAGTGACTGAAATTTTCCTGATTTTCAAAGAGTCTCATAAATCTTTTACTTGATTCTATATCCACTGCTTCCCTCACCTGATTTATGGACTTAAATATCCAGAAATGTAATATCATGGCCAGAAAGGTAGAGTGAGGCCAGGAGCAGAATATTTTCTACCCTATGGAAGGTCATGTTGAGGGGTTTGATGTCCTGATTGCACAAGTAATTAGGAAGATATAGAAAACCCCCGATGCTTGGTGTTATGTTCTTTATGAAGGACACATTTTGGTGGGTGAGATATCGGAGTTATGTTCATTATGGAGGACACATTTTGGAGGGTGAGATATCGGAGTTATGTTCATTATGGAGGACATATTTTGAAGATGAGATATGGGAGTTATGTTCATTAAAGAGGACACATTTTGGAGGGTGAGATATTAGAATTATGTTCATTAAAGAGGACACATTTTGGAGATGAGATATCGACGTTATGTTCTTTATGGAGGACACATTTTGGAGGGTGAGATATTGGAGTTATGTTCTTTATGGAAGACTCATTTTGGAGGGCGAGATATGGGAGTTATGTTCTTTATGGAAGTTACATTTTGGAGGGTGAGATATCGGAGTTATGTTCATTATGGAGGACACATTTTGAAGATGAGATATTGGAGTTATGTTCATTATGGAGGACACATTTTGAAGATGAGATATCGGAGCTATGTTCATTATGGAGGACACATTTTGGAGGGTGAGATATTGGAGTTATGTTGTTTATGGAGGACACATTTTGGAAGGTGAGATATTGGAGTTATGTTGTTTATGGAGGACACATTTTGGAGGGTGAGATATTGGAGTTATGTTCATTATGGAGGACACATTTTGAGGGTGAGATATTGGAGTTATGTTCTTTATGGAGGACACATTTTGGAGGGTGAGATATCGGAGTTATGTTCTTTATGGAGGACACATTTTGGAGGTTGAGATATTGGAGTTATGTTCTTTATGGAGGACACATTTTGGAGGGTGAGATATTGGAGTTATGTTGTTTATGGAGACACATTTTGGAGGGTGAGATATCGGAGTTATGTTCTTTATGGAAGACACATTTTGGAGGGTGAGATATCGGAGTTATGTTCTTTTATAGAGGACACAATTTGGAGGGTGAGATATTGGAGTTATGTTCTTTATGGAGGACACATTTTGAGGGTGAGATATCGGAGTTATGTTCTTTATGGAGGACATATTTTGGAGGGTGAGATATTGGAGTTATGTTCTTTATGGAGGACACATTTTGGAGGGTGAGATATTGGAGTTATGTTCTTTATAGAGGACACAATTTGGAGGGTGAGATATCGGAGTTATGTTCTTTATGGAGGACATATTTTGGAGGGTGAGATATTGGAGTTATGTTCTTTATGGAAGACTCATTTTGGAGGGTGAGATATCGGAGTTATGTTCTTTATGGAGGACATATTTTGGAGGGTGAGATATTGGAGTTATGTTCTTTATGGAGGACAAATTTTTGGAGGGTGAGATATTGGAGTTATGTTCTTTATGGAGGACAAATTTTGGAGGGTGAGATATTGGAGTTATGTTGTTTATGGAGGACACATTTTGAGGGTGAGATATTGGAGTTATGTTCATTATGGAAGACTCATTTTGGAGGGTGAGACATGGAAGTTATGTTCATTATGGAAGACTCATTTTGGAGGGTGAGACATGGAAGTTATGTTCTTTATGGAAGACTCATTTTGGAGGGTCTGGGTATATTTTATTTTTTTTCTCAGGAATATTTCTCCATACATTTTCAATTCATACTTATAGTGAGTCATTCATATACTGTATGTTTCCATTGCTGTTTTCTGGTGCTCCCACTTACACTTTAGAGGCATTCAGCAGATTTTCCATTCTATGTGAACAATCTCACTTACTCGGTACAGGGGCATCTGGGTTAACCTGTTAATGACCAATTCCTCAGCTCTGGCTTGATGGCAGCAGCATTTTGTAGACAGATACCGGAGTATTGCCTCTCTAGCCATGTCCTCAGTGATGTCCACATTCCTAAAAAAAGAGAAGACAGGTTCTCTTAATGTTATATCTACTTGACTGGTTCAATATGTAGACTCTCTGATGCAGCAGAATTATATGCTTTGGTTAGCCCCAGCATCTTCTACCGCAAACAAGATGTATCATTGGAGTCTTCCTGAAATAAAAAGTACAGTAAGGCCAAACATGGAAACACCTTGAACTCACCCATGTGTCTCTGACTTCCTTCTGGCTGCCCCACTAATTCTTTATAGTATTGGGCATCCTCATGGCACCCATGGCAAAAGTTCAACCTGTGCTCTTCACACATTCTTCACCCCCAAACCCCCCCCCCCCACACACACACACACACACACACACACACACACACGTGCTGTGAACTACTTCAGCGGCATAGGTTGCAGCTCCTGTCATTTTTCTGCCTCCTTCCTACTGAACATGTAAGGCAGCTATCCCATCTGCCTACCCCTTGGCCTGGCCCTACCTCATGGTTTGAACTGGAGCTGGTAAAACACAACCAGTTTCCTGGTTCCAGGCATCAGCCTCTCCCGGAGCGCAGTGCAGCCTCACATATTGAACATGGAAAGAATGTTGTACAAAAGAGAAGTCCATGACATGATTCTGGTCCTCACAAAGGAATACTGAAAACTCCGCTATGACAGCTTAGAATCACAAAAACCCAAAACTAATCTGAGGGGATTCTGTGATGTAGCAGAAATGTTTCTGGGATGGCTTTAGATGCCTACTGATTTCTCTTGCTGGGATATATTTGATAAAGTGTAGTAAATGTTCATTGTACAGCCTATCTCTGCTCCCTGTAATTATAATTATTAAGAGCACTAAAGAGTGGCTGCAGGCAGCAAATACAGACGTGACGTACCTGGAAAAAAGGAGGACTTCCCTCACCCAGCTCATGGAGGCTCTCTGGGGTCCCTGGTAGACACAAAGTAAAGGCAAGGAATGCATTAATCTGCTTCCCTTCTATGAGCATTGTCCTTCTTATCCTAAATAAAGATTTCCAAAATAGTGTTTACAGAATAGTATAGTGTTACTAAAAGATGTAGGGCCAGGGTAGATGTAGGTCCACAGATGTAGGACCATGGTGGATGTAGGTCATTGGTAGATGTATGTCCACAGTGGATATAGGTCCATGGTGGATGTAGGACCAGGGTAGATGTAGGTCCACAGTGGATGTAGGACCATGGTGGATGTAGGGCCAGGGTAGATGTAGGTCCACAGTAGATATAGGTCCATGGTGGATATAGGGCCAGGGTAGATGTAGGTCCACAGTGGATGTAGGACCATGATGAATGTAGGATCATTGGTAGATGTAGGTCCACAGTGGATGTAGGGCCATGGTGGATGTAGGGCCAGGGTAGATGTAGGTCCCCAGTGGATGTAGGACCATGATGAATGTAGGTCATTGGTAGATGTAGGTCCACAGTGGATGTAGGGCCATGGTGGATGTAGGGCCAGGGTAGATGTAGGTCCCCAGTGGATGTAGGACCATGGTGGATGTAGGGCCAGGGTAGATGTAGGTCCACAGTGGATGTAGGACCATGATGAATGTAGGTCATTGGTAGATGTAGGTCCACAGTGGATGTAGGGCCAGGGTAGATGTAGGTCCACAGTGGATGTAGGACCATGGTGGATGCAGGGCCAGGGTAGATGTAGGTCCACAGTGGATGTAGGACCATGGTGGATGCAGGGCCAGGGTAGATGTAGGTCCACAGTGGATGTAGGACCATGGTGGATGCAGGGCCAGGGTAGATGTAGGTCCACAGTGGATGTAGGACCAGGGTAGGTGTAGACCCATGATAGATGGAAGTCCATGGTAGATGTAGGACTGCGACAGAAACATAGAATAGTGAAGGCAGAAAACAGACCAAGTGGTCCGTCGAGTCTGCCCCTTTTTGTCTGTTAGTTTTTTTACCATTTTGTCTGAGTATAGATTTATGTTTGTCCCAAGCTTGTTTGAATCCACTTACTGTTGACTGACTCACTGCCTCTACTGGAAGTCTGTTCCAAGCATCAGTACCGCATTGCGGTCACTAGATGGAGCTAAGGGTTATAGGAAATAACATTCGAGGTTTCTTTTTTTAAATAAATAGACCTCTGAATGTATTTCAGGGTTTTAGTCATGTCTCCCCTTTTCTCTCTCTCCTCACATACAGAGGACAAGAACCTTTCCTTATATTTTATAGAACATTCTCACTATCTTCATTTGTAGAAAACACAGAAAATTACATATTCAAATATATTTTTAAAAAAAAACAGACGGTATCCATAGTGATAATCCTCAGAGGATGGCCTGAGGTTCCCTAAACATGGCTTTCGGGGTATGGGGGGGGGGGGGTAGGAACACCCCCTGCACATGAGAAACCTATCACAACGAGCACTGGGACATGGGGGAGGGCCTAATCATGTGCAGATACTTTATGGGCTTCAGCCGCCGAGTAGGATTCATGGTATTGTATCGGTACAATATGTCACATTATGGTCCCTTTTATACAACTTTAGAAGATTTTTTGCAATATTTTCCAAAAGCATGAAATCTATGCATTTTCACTAAAAAAATCATACTTTTCATGTAATTCAGTCATACAGCTGGACAGTACGGGGAAGGAGCGGTTGCACTTTTTTAACCTCATGGGCCTGGCAGCCTGTTACACCTTCTATATAGCTATACACCACTAAAGTGGTCCCCAAACTGCACTGACACCAATGATGGGGCACTATTCCTCCCACTGACACCAATGATGGGGCACTATTCCTCCTACTGACACCAACGATGGGGCACAATTCCTCCTACTAACCCCCAACGATGGGGCACAATTCCACTAACTGACCCAATGATGGGGCACTATTCCCCCCACTGACACCAATGATGGGGCACTATTCCCCCCACTGACACCAATGGGGCACAATTCCACTAACCCAATGATGGGACACCAATACACCAATGATGGGGCACTATTCCTCCCACTGACACCAATGATGGGGCACAATTCCTCTCAATGACACCAATGATGGGACACCATTCTTCCCACTTACACCAATGATGGGGCACAATTCCTCTCAATGACACCAATGATAGGAGACCATTCCTCCCTCTGATAGCAATGATGGGACACGATTCCTCCCACTGACACCAATGATGGGGCACCATTACTGCCACTGACACCAATGATGGGGCACTATTCCTCCCACTGATACCAATGATGGGGCACTATTCCTCCCACTGACACCAATGATGGGGCACTATTCCTCCCACTGATACCAATGATGGGGCACTATTCCTCCCACTGACACCAATGATGGGGCACTATTCCTCCCACTGACACCAATGATGGGGCACTATTCCTCCCACTGATACCAATGATGGGGTACTATTCCTCCCATTGACACCAATTATGGTGCACCATTCCACTGACACCAATGATGGGGCACTATTCAACTGACACCAATGAAGGGGTATTTTATCTCCTACTGACCACAGGTCATTTTCTAATCACCACTGAGCCAGGGGGATTGTTACCCTCTAATGACTACTGACATTGAGGCATTTTCTGCTCCCATTGGTCAGTCTTGCCCTCCTTGGTCTGAAGGACCCCTCCTACTGCAGTGCAGCCATACCTCTAAGTATGGATATGGAAGTATTATTCATGCATTATTTTCAGTATCTACCTTGCTCCATGCGTGTAGTTCTGGGGTCACTTTCAGGAGCTCAGCTGAGACACGTCCATGGCTGGAACATGTTCTGAAGATATTGGACCAGGACATCCAAGGCTTGCAGACATAATGAAGGACGTGCTGGCTGAAGGAACTCTGCAGGTTGGAGGAAACTTGTTCTGAATGTGGAAAATGAAGAGAACCGACAAACTCTTCTAAACTCCAAACTCTAAAGGGTGTCTGGAGATTGCAGCAGATTTCATGCCATGAATGGGGTCTCCCGGGAGCAGATAGACAATGGACCAACCTAGACTGACTTCATTGGGAAGGTTTGGCCGGCCGGTGATAAGGAACACTCAGAATACGGCCCATTGAAGGGATTGTGTGCCGGCTGTTCAATTGGTGCAAAAATAGAACTTCTAACTCTGTCTATTGTGACGGGGAAGAGATTTCCATAGATATAAAGACGCAGAGACATCAGCAGAAGGGACTTTCCTTGGGGCAAGCAGCTAACACGAGAAAGAAGACGGACACAATACAGAGAACAGGACAGTATACAGAGGACAGGACAATATACAGAGAACAGGACAGTATACAGAGGACAGGACAATATACAGAGAACAGGACAGTATACAGAGGACAGGACATAATACAGAGTATAGGACAATATACAGAGAACAGGACATATACACAGAGTATAGGACAATATACAGAGTATAGGATAGTATACAGAGAACAGGACATAATACAGAGAACAGGACAGTATACAGAGAACAGGACAGTATACAGAGAACAGGACAGTATACAGAGAACAGGACAGTATACAGAGAACAGGACAGTATACAGAGAACAGGACATAATACAGAGAACAGGACAGTATACAGAGAACAGGACATAATACAGAGAACAGGACATAATACAGAGAACAGGACATAATACAGAGAACAGGACAATATACAGAGAACTGGACAGTATACAGAGAACAGGACAGTATACAGAGAACTGGACAGTATACAGAGAACTGGACAGTATACAGAGGACAGGACAGTATACAGAGAACAGGACAGTATACAGAGGACAGGACAGTATACAGAGGACAGGACAATATACAGAGAACTGGACAGTATACAGAGAACAGGACAGTATACAGAGACAGGACAATATACAGAGACAGGACAATATACAGAGGACAGGACAATATACAGAGAACAGGACAATATACAGAGGACAGGACAGTATACAGAGTATAGGATAATATACAGAGAACAGGACATAATACAGAGAACAGGACATAATACAGAGAACAGGACAGTATACAGAGAACAGGACAGTATACAGAGAACAGGACAGTATACAGAGGACAGGACAGTATACAGAGGACAGGACATACATACAGAGGACAGGACATAATACAGAGAACAGGACATAATACAGAGAACAGGACAGTATACAGAGAACAGGACATAATACAGAGAACAGGACAGTATACAGAGAACAGGACAGTATACAGAGAACAGGACAGTATACAGAGAACAGGACATAATACAGAGGACAGGACAGTATACAGAGGACAGGACAATATACAGAGAACAGGACAATATACAGAGAACAGGACAGTATACAGAGGACAGGACATAATACAGAGGACAGGACAGTATACAGAGAACAGGACATAATACAGAGGACAGGACAGTATACAGAGAACAGGACAATATACAGAGTATAGGATAGTATACAGAGAACAGGACATAATACAGAGAACAGGACAGTATACAGAGAACAGGACAGGATACAGAGAACAGGACAGGATACAGAGGACAGGACAGTATACAGAGAACAGGACAGTATACAGAGAACAGGACATAATACAGAGAACAGGACATAATACAGAGAACAGGACAGTATACAGAGAACAGGACAGTATACAGAGAACAGGACATAATACAGAGAACAGGACAATATACAGAGAACAGGACATAATACAGAGAACAGGACATAATACAGAGAACAGGACAGTATACAGAGAACAGGACAGTATACAGAGGACAGGACAGTATACAGAGAACAGGACATAATACAGAGAACAGGACATAATACAGAGAACAGGACAATATACAGAGAACAGGACAATATACAGAGAACAGGACAACATACAGAGAACAGGACAGTATACAGAGAACAGGACAGTATACAGAGAACAGGACAGTATACAGAGAACAGGACAGTATACAGAGAACAGGACAATATACAGAGAACAGGACAATA